AGGTCACCTTGTTGCTTATTTTAGTGAAAAACTAAATGACATTCGACAGCATTATTTCATATATGACAAGGAGTTCTATGCTATGATCCAATCTCTTCGTTATTGGCGACACTACTTGCTCCTGCAAGAGTTCGTTATTTTCTTGGATCACGAGGCTCTACGTTATATCAACTCCCAAACATTATATCAACTATTAAAAGAAGTTAAATGCACGTCATGGTCGATGGGTCAAATTTCCTTAGGAGTACACTTATACCCTTAGGCACAAGACGAGAGTTGAAAATAAAGTTGTTGATGCTCTCAGTCATCGTATGATGACTACCACTGTGATGAGAGTTGAAGTCGTGATATTTGGCCAAATCAAAAGGGACTATTTGGAATGCCCCGACTTCAATGAGACTTATTCACTCTTGGCCACAGGCAGCACACGCCTTGTGGATGATTTCCTTCTGGATGATGGTTCTCTCTTCACAGCTCAGAAGTTCTGAATCCCTAGCACCTCCCTTAGGGAATTTCTTGTTTGGGAGCCATAGGCCTCATTGGGCACCTCGGCCGGGATAAGATGATAGAAGTCGTGGAGTATCGTTTCCTTTTGGCCCAGCCTGAAGAGGGATGTTGGTAAAATGGTCAGTAGGTGTCATATGTGCCAGCTGGCCAAGCAACGCAAACAAAACACTAGTCTTTATAGTTTATACCCCTCTGCCCGTTCCCAGCTGTCCTTGGCAGTATCTTAGCATGGATTTCATCTTAAGCTGGCTCAAGACTATCCGTAGGAATGACGTTATCTGTATTGTAGTCGATCGATTTTCCAAAATGACCCATTTCCTACCCTGCTCCAAGACATATGACGCCCCCCATATTGCCAAACTTTACTTCAATGAGGTCATCCATTACATGATTTACCCAAAACCATTGTATCAGACAGAGATGTTAAATTCACCAGTTATTTTTGGAAAACTCTATGGATGGAAATGGACACTAAATTGCAATTTTTCATAGCCTTTCATCCGCAAACTGATTGTCAAACCGAGGTAGTCAATAGGAGCTTAGGCAATCTGTTAAGGTCCCTGGTAGGTGAGCATATTAAGGATTGGGATTCCTTATTCCCCACAGTTGAGTTCACCTATAATAATTATGTGAACCGTACCACTAGTCCAAGTCCCATTGAAATTGTTTATGGGTTCAAACCTAGACAGCCGCTAGATTTCATTCTCATGTGTTCTAGGTATAGGATTTTTGAGTTCGCATCCTCATTTGCATCACATATGCATGAACTTCATAAAAAAATTGCACGCCAAATTGAAAAGATCAATAATGATTATAAACTTTATGCTGATCTTAAACGAAAATTTAAAACTTTTGAGGTTGGTGACTCAGTGATGGTGCGGATTCGTTCGGAACGGTTAAGAGCAATCATTAAAAAAGCGGATGAGGCGTCCGCATTGAGTCGCGCCTCAAGTCGAGCGGAAGTCATGCGTATCAGGGCTTACGCCTTGAAATATCCAGCGAAGCCTACGATTTTTTCGCACAAGGCTTACGCATTAGAGCATAATGCCTCGAGGCAGTATGAGGCACCGCCTCGAAATTTTTTCTTCGGTATATATGTAAATACGACGCAGCCGATTCGTGTTTGTGTATTTGCATATAGGATTAGGGCTTCCTGTGAGAATTGAAAGGCGAATTAGAGGCGAAGCCTGAGGGAAAGAGACGAAGCCGTGAGTGCAGGAGACGAAGTTAGAAGGAGATGACACAGGAAACGAATCCAAAAGCAATGACGGTTTCGAAAGCAGGAAACGAAGCCGAAGTTGGAAACGTTCAGGCCTCGATTAGGTCGGAAGAGCAGGTGAGCGGTGTTGTGGCCTTGACTTTGAGGTGCAGTAACGAAAGCTTGAATAACTCCTGATTCGGCTTTCTTTCATTCGTCTGCTCAGTACATGCTCGGTACCGAGCAGGTACAAGTTCGGTACCGCTCAGTACATGCTCGGTACTGCTAGATACATACTCAGTACCGAGCCAGCACCGTTCGGTACCAAGCAAGTATATGCTCAGTATTGAGCGGTACATGCTCGGTACCACTAGGTACACGCTCGGTACCGAGCAGTATATGCTCGGTACATGCTCGGTACTGAGCGGTACATGCTCGGTACGGAGCAGTACATGCTCGGTACTGAGCGGTGCATGCTCGATACTGAGCGGTACATGCTCGGTACTGATATAGGGGATAAAGGAAAAAATATTGTTTAAAAAAGACAGTGAAGTAGAAGGAGAAGGAGAAATTCAAGCCAATGAAGACAGTGAAGCAACTACTCATGTATATAAAAGAAAGAAATAAAGTGAGATTGGAGCTTCAAAAACATTCAAATGTATTCTTAAATATAATGAATTATTTTTTTATGTTATTATTGTTTCATTCTAAAGCTAACGAAATATTAACTGATATAGGGGATAAAGGAAAAAATATTATAGATGAAGAAGATTTTGAGGATGACTTTGACATTAATTATAAAGATTCTTCTGAAGAAAATCAAAGTGATGATGAGCCTACATTGGGTCTTGATCCTAATGGGATGTTTTATTTTTAAGTGAGTTTATTTTAAATCTTCTTTTTCAATAATATACTAATGTTATATTAGAACAAATCATCAATTTCACAATTGACGTAATATTTTGTTATTTTTTGACATTTTTGTCATTATTCATAATTTTAAATTGCTTTATTTTTATAATTTTTGAGGCTTACGCCTCGATCCGCCTCGAGGCTTATGCCTCGCCTCGCTTAGACAAAACTCCTTGATTCCCGATTTCGCCTTTTAAAACTTGGTTAAGAGTGCAAGGAATGGTTAATAAGTTACACGCTAAGGGTGCAGGACCATTTAAAATAATTAAGAAAATCAATGATAATGCTTATGTGGTGGATATGCTTGTAGAATTCAATAACAATCCCTCCTTTAACATAGAAGATCTAGTAGCATATGAGGGTCCCGATTTTAACCCATCAAATCCACGTCTAAAGCAGCTTGTGTGACCCCACCTTGTGAGAACCCAAACCTACCTCCACTTTCAAACATTCCCAAATACCTATGAAAAATAAGGTTGACACGATTCTGAGTGATGATATCATTTCCACAAGAGAAGGTGGACAAATGAGATATTTGATCAGGTGGAGAGGCAAACCCGAGTTAGAGGACATGTGGTTGGATCGCGAGGAGCTACAACAGATTGACTCCGATGCATTGGAGATTTATGAGAGCACCCGGAACACTCGACAGAGTCGAGCTTTTGCCACCTCGGGAGAATGATGGGGATATCTGATCATGGAAAGTATATTAGAGATGTGGCCAACGATCTAGGACCATGATCGCACCGACCTATTTTTGAGTCTTCATATGTATTTATTTTATTTATTTGTTTCATGTATTTGTTTTAGTTGCATTTCCCTTTTTTACCTTTAAGGGTTTTGTCATGTGTAAGCCCTAAGGGCTATGTCGTCTTTATTTTCCCTTTCATTGTATGAGGCTATATATAGCCCCCTTATGCTTCTTTTGAAGGGAATGACAAATTTATGCACATTGAGCTCTTGTGAGAGCTTGAGAGTCTTTTGGAGAGAAATCCCTTTGGAGAGGGAAGCGGATCACCCACCAACCTTTGAGAAATCCGGGCTCGTGTTTCGTTTGTTCTTATTTCCAAAGTCGAGCATCTTACTTGGGAAAGATTTCAACTTCTCCCTCTCTCTTACCCGCCTCTCCTTCTCACCTATTTCCCTTTTAATCCTTTCCAAACTTAAGGATTAATTAGGGAAACAATTTTTCAATTTTCCCTCCATCTTCCCTTCTTAAAATCAGAACCCTTTTCCTCTCCACCTCCCTCTCTAACCTAGCCGTTTTTCCTTACCCACATTACCTCTAAAATCTGACCCAAAATCTCCCCAAGTTCCCTACCTTGGCCGGCCACCCTTCCACATCTTACCCTACTTGGATTCTTGAGAGAAACTTCTTTCTCTCAAGGGAAATCTACAAGGGCAGCAAATGAACGTCTTCTACAACACTTCAACCCTATGAAATCGATGCATGGTTGATCCCGATCTTGACTCCGGCTTCGTCTATAACGAATAAGGCTTTGTCGACATCCTCCGGTCGACTTTCTTCGACATCAATCCGGAAATAGACAATTCCGCCGAGGAGTACTTGGAGCATATCATCTTCACCTTGTTTGAAGCCATCGAAGAGCAGCTTTCCACCGTTCAGTGGCAAATTACCTCCGTACCACGGCGAGGGTGAACTTTTCCTCCTATTCAATTTTCTCCCTAATCTTCTTCTCTTGTAGGTTGTGAATCAAGCACAAGGAATCATGCAAAGCTATCTGCCAATGCTTAGTAAACGTAGGGCATGAGTTTTGATTTTCTATGCATTATAATCTCATTGTTAACCTAGGGATGCTATTAAAAATCCTCTAAATTTGCATATGTTGAAATTCTAATTGTTTTGGTATCTTAACTATTAACGTGTAATTTGGCCTAAGCGGAGTCACCTGTCTTTTGTTTTCTATTATCGTTAACCGGCTAACATTTTAATTCTTATTGTTCTTATTATGCATCAATTATTCCTGGGGCTGATCTTGGAAGGTTGAGCAGCGAGCCCACCAAGACTGTTTGCACTCAAGTGATTGATTGAATATTAGGTGAACAGCTTGGATTTATCAGACGGTGATGGCGTTCCTCAAAAGGGTCGGGTCAACAGCCCACACATCTCTTGTTAAATATTTAATTCACAAATAACATAATTTACTGCCAACACCTTGAATTGATTGGACGGTGATGGTGCTGTTTATCCTGGTTATTTTTTCAAGAAGTTTGTTCAAAATTTTGTCATTTATTCCTTAAACATACTCATGAAACTATTATTTTCTGTAAGCTAATTGTGTCATTTCTGCCACATTTGGAACAAATAACTTGAAAAAAAGAGTATAACATAATGATTTTTATGACCCAAATCCACATGCAGTTGTTATTTCTTCATCCCATTCCACGGACGAGACAATTGTAGCAGATTCTGATGTTGAAACAGACACAGCATTATCAACTCAAGCTGGTACTAATATCAAATCTGAAACTGCCAAAGATAACGATACTGAAGATGATGATACTTCCGGAAAACGTGAAGATGAAGAACATGTTAAGAATAGCGATGTAGAGGAGACTGCTAATTGCATGCCTATGCCCATTGAAGAGGATGTTATCCTCATAAGAAAATTCGACAAAAGTGATGCTTCTGATATAGGTAGACATGAAAATTCAGATATATTATATAGTCAAGACCTTATAGTAAGAAATACAATCGCTTCAGTTCAACCAATATCAAGCAAAGCAAGTTCTGTAAACTTCAAGTGCTTTAGAAAGGTAAAAATTCTATCCTTGATAAGCTTACCATTAATATCTGAAAAAAAAAATTTCAATCTTTCATTTGATCTGTTAGTAGTTTTGTTGTTTGATTTATTGTTTAATTTATATTTATATTTATTTATAGAGAGAGACTGTCTCCGGCAACAGCTTTAGAGACCTCATTCCATTTTCAAAAGATCCATACAAGTAAGATGCATAAAAAATGCATTTTACTCGCTCTTCTATCATTAAAGCTCTATCCATACTTAACTGTACTAAAACGTTAATCATCATTAGGGAATCCGAACATGGAAGAGATGAATCAGATTACATGCGAGATGAAAGGAAGCGAAAGAAACTGGAAGCTATTGCAGAGGAGATGTTCAACAGTGAAAAGGTATCCTTGTATGATCTTATGACTGACTTAGGCTTCATTTGGGACGTCTTTTTTGTTGCTTTTTAAAACAATTTTTTAGTACAAAAATTACTAGAAAGCTGCTTTAAGAAGCAACAAAAAAGTTGTCCTAAATGAAGCCTTAATCTTGTTAACTATTTGATATTTCTAGTCGTAAAAATTGGATTTGTGACCCCTTCAAATAATAAAATTATATAAAGAAAATTTTCTAGCTTCACTAATGAGCGGATCCAGGTTAAGAGCATTGGGGGCATGTGCTCAACTGGTTTGAGCTTGCCTTATTGATTTATCTAATTAGGTGGCCTAGCGTCCCCCTCAACTCCTACTTATTTTAAGATTTAAAATCAAGAAACAAGGTATAATACCTAAAATATAAAGAGAAAATTACAAACATAGGCGGTATAATCTTAATTTTGGTTAATATTTGATGAGACGAAGAATTAAATTGGATACTTTAAATAGTTTGAGACTAAAATGCCCTTAATTTATGAGTCATTTTGATCATTTTCTCTTCTCTTACAGTTCCTCTCTCAAAGAAATTTCCCATTCATTATATTTTATTCATTCTGTTTCTTTCTCTTGATAGATTTAGCCCGTTATTCATTTTGCTTTGTTCAAACTGTTTGTTTGTGATAGCTGAAGAAGCGTGCGGCTGCTTCTACTTCCCTGGAGGCATTCCTTGCTCGCTGTTGAGTGACCATCAAAGCCTGCAAAAAGATCAATGGCTTTATATTCTGAAATGTAATACTGATGTCTTGTTACCGTCCAGCTTCATCTCAAAGTTTTACTTAGCTGCATAGTGAGCACATATTTTCAGGCCTTTGTACAGTCAATATTTAGAACATAAAAGAATCGCGAAGTTTGATAGATTTTTGTGTAAGTCATGAGATCTAGCGGTTTGTTTGTGTAAGCTTCAGACGGTAGATCGGGTCTATCTTTTTTGTATTTGGAAGAACCTTTTACATACTAAGATTTTGTTTGGAATAGATTCTTTACTGCTTTTTCAAACATCATTTCTAATATAAAAATTCATAGCTAAAAAAAAACTGTTTCAAACGAAAACTAAGTATATAGTTTATTCAATAATTTATTAGGTACTTTGCAAGTAAAAATTTTTTTTTCCCTGAACTAATTGTTGAAAATAAACTCTAGATAATTATAATGTCATGTATGTATGTTCCAACATTTTAACATAAGATAATTGTTGAATGCAAGGCTTAAAATTTGTTTTTGATGAGTTATAATTTATCATTACCAAATTAATAAAAATTAACAGCATGTTAATAAAAGCTGTTAGTACATTAGCAAATTTATAAAATCAATGACAAGGTATTTGTAAGAGCTTAAGAGATTATTTGGTTTGTTAAAAAATGATTTAGAGTAAAAAGAATATAATGTAAAATATTTGAAGTGTATTTGAAATTATTTGGATGATTATAAAAAAATTATTAAATTTATATATTTTTTGTTTGCATTAATGCAAAAAAAATTGTTGTGTAATCATGTAAAATTTAAAAAGATGGCGGTTGGCCAGTGGCGGGTGGAGGGTGGTAGGCATCGTCGATGGGTAGCAGCAGTAGGTAGGTCACCGCCTAACTCATCATTGACCAAAGCTTGCACTATCGCAGGCGCCAATCACCTATTGCTTATGCAATTCGTTAGAGGCTGTGACAAAATAGCTTGATTGCAGTGAAAATAATTTTTATTTAAAATTAGGAGAGTTTACTTCACCTTAAAAATACATTAAAATACTTTATATTACATTTATTTCTCATTCAATAAAACATCAATATTTTCAAAATTCTTCCAAAAAGTATAATTTTCACTTGCTTTGTTTTCAACCAAACAATACCTAAGAAAAGAATTCCTTAAAAAACGTATTTGTTAAATAATGCATAAATTATTGCATGTAACTTTATCTAGTTTATATTGAAGCACCGCAGATTTTTCAGCTAATATATTAGTTTAATTACTTTACCAATATATACAATTATTTATTTATTTATTTATTTTCATAATTCAAAGAGTAAGAATTAAAACTTTGGCAGCTCTAATCAAGGGTGTTAATAAATGACCTGATCTATTAACTGAACATGGATCCGAACCAAAAAATCAAAATTTAGATTGCCCCATTTAATAAACGAGTTGAGTTCGAATTGCACATTCCAGCCAATTAGTTAAATGGGTCACGTTCAAGTTGACCCTCCAACCCGACTTTGACTCAACAAAAGGTCTGTTTAATAATTTTTTTACTTAAATTTTTTTATTTATTGGTATAACATAATGATTATTTATCAATTAATTTTAAATCTATGATTAACAAGTTAATAAAAAAATATTTTTTTAACTAAAATAAGTTAAGTCAAATTCAAATTGCTAATGGGGGATTTGAATTGATCGAATTCGAGTATGATCAATTTCAATCAGACCCAAACCCAACCCGTTCTGATACCCTACATCCAAATTTAAAATCTTCTTTAACATTTTAGTTTTTATTTTGACTCATGATTTACTAAGCCTATTATGACCAATCTTTGTGTCCATCAATAGACTAATTTTAATTAAATCGCAAACAGTAATTTCCATCAACATAAGAGATTAATGGCAAGAAAAGTCACATGAGGAAAATATTAAAAACAGTACATACAGAAACCTAATTTAGTTAACAATATTAACAACATACAATAAAAATTATAAATCCGTAATGATACATTTTCACCCCTCCAATGCTGGAAACCAAAGCCTTGCTGTGGTCAATATGTAGGAAATCAATTAGCTCAAAATATTTCGATTATTATTTTTTATCTGTGTTTTTTAAAAGCCATTATTTTTACTTTGAGATTAAAAAATAATTAATTAAAAAATGCCTAAAATAAATCTAATAATTTAGAGTTTTTTTCTGATTAAAAATTGTATTGTCCAGATTATTGCCCATACAAAAGGGGCTAGAATAAAGTACTGGTTCACTTGCAACACAATAACCACAAAGTAGCCCTCTTGCAATGTAACAATAAGGGGCTATATTGGCTCACTGTAAATTGAACACAATGTAAAATAAATACTTTGAGACTTTGTCTGTAAAGCGAATGTAGGGGAACTATCATTTATGTTTGATTAGGTGTTTTCAGAGTAAAGTAAAATACGTTCATTTTGAATACTTAAAAGTCGTAGCCAACACATCAAGATGAGCTGCGTACACAAATGATTGGACAAATAAACTGATTACACAAATCATCAATGGTCACAAAGTTAACTGATTACACAACTCATATACACTAAGTCAACGTTTATAAATTATTTACCTATAATTTGTGGCATCCAAGAACATGCAAGATCCTTGAAATCCTTAAACTTGAATCCTAACGGTTTCAATTGATTTGATTAGAACCAAAGAGCCCTGAAACTTCAAATTATATAAAAATAAAGAAGAAAAATAGAATTCATTTCATAGACAGATAGGAGAAAAGACAACAAAAAGAAGAAAATAATTTGATCTCTGGAGCGAAAGACGAACCAGTGAGATCGTTCTCAAACTTGCGCAAGTAGGGAGGGTCCTTTAGTCTCAGGTCAATCCTGCTCTAGCTGAAAGGCTAAAGAGTAAGGATGGAGGAGCTACTCCTCTGCCCGCTGCAACACACCACCATTGGCCTTGCTGGACGGGCTAGCCGGCGACAGACTCCAACAAAAGCGTCGCTGGAGATGGCAGAGATGCAAGAGATCGAAGCATTTCGGTTGAGACACTCGAAACTCGTCGATGACGCTCTAAACTCGACAATGGAAGAAACGAAGATGGTTCTCACGACAATGGAGGAAGAAACATACTTCTTTCTCTCGCCTGCGTCTCGTGATATCCATTTTCGCCAAATTTTGAGCGAGTTTAATCTACGCCAAAAATAAATTAAAGCGGAGAGTTCCAAATTCATTACAATTTTATTTTATTTTACTGGGTGTCTAACCAAACATAAAAAAAAAATTAAAACTCATGCATTTATCCTACACCCTAAAGTATTCCAACCAAACATCCCCTAAGCGAAAGTTCGCAAGTGAAAAAGTAAAGTAAATAAATGAAAATAATAATAAAAGGATCTGATAACCAAGTGCAGCGAAAGGAGTGCATGAATTGCAATTTCCAGGTTAAGGTCATCTCCAACCGAACGTCAAACGAGCGTATGGCGTCGTTCGGTCGCTCCAACTGAACTCAAAATTTTCCGCCATCTACTTGTAGGTGAATAGTGCGACGGCAATATTGGCATCGCACTGTTCACCCACGTCATTTTAGGCTCTCAACCGGAAAAACGCGCGAAAGGAGAACGATCGTTACCTTCCCAGAAACACCTAAAATGGCGTTCGATTGGAACAGCCGCACCGCATTTTGGAGTTTTGTGTTATTTTGCCGTGAAAAATAGAGTTCTCGGTTGGAGATGCCCTAAGAGGAAGAAAATCCAATGACTAGGCTCCTCAATTCATGTACTCAAAAGATCATACTATGATTGGATGCATAGTGGGGCCCATAGCTCTTCTGCCTGGAACGAATGGATAAAGTAAGACTGGGTCCCATTAGGGGTTTAAAGAGTCAAGTCGAGCTTAATTTACCCTTGGCTTGAGTTTGAGCTTGACTAAATAATTTAGTTGGAGCTCGATTAATTTATTGAGTTTGACTTGAGTTTTATTCTACGTATTCGAGCTTACTCGTTTAATATGAAAGAAAAGTTTATTATGATTCAAGCAATTAATATAATAAAAAGGTAAAAAGAATGAAAAATTAAAACAAAGATAATAAAGAATCAATTAATATACAAAAGTGAGATATAATTTTTGAATATTTTTAACAACTTTATATTTAAAAAATCTTGAATGCTAATATATTTTATGTGCATTCTATGTTAATATTAATATTTTTAAAACAAGCTGAGTTATGAGCTAACGAGTCGAGTTAGGGATTGCTCAAGCTTGACTCGTTAGCTCATCAAGCCCGACTCACGAGCCATTTATCGAGCCGAGCTCAAGCTGGCTCACAAGTAGGCTTAACTCACACCACTAGTGTAATAACCCAAAGATATGAAAAATATGAAAATATAAAATTTCTATATGAAGTAGAGCGCGACAACATTGAGCTAGATAACGTTGCGGCACTATGCATGATAGCACAGCAATGTCAGAAAATGTCGTTGCAACACTTATGTCTCTATTATACAATAACTCTAAATTCGACATGCAGCATTACAATGCTAGGCTATATATATATATATATATATATATATATATATATTCTTGCCATTCCTCTCCCACCACCTCCCTCACTCATGTCTTGGATGGGAAGCAATCAAAGGAGAAGAAGGGGGGAGGGGAAGAGAAATAGGAGAGAGAGGAAAGAGGAGGATCGTTTGGGCTTTTTTGTTTGTCCTTCCTATTTCAAAAATTGTTCTAAGCGTTGTAAGTAACTATCCTCTTATTTATATTTTTAATGATTTTGATTTCTATGAATTTATCTCTTCTAAATATGCTAAAATTGCATTATCTTCTAATTTTGTAAGTTTTTACCACATAACTTTTAATATATTATATATTTGATCATTCTAAATGATTTGATATGTTTTTATTATATTTTTATCAGTTGAATATGTGTATAGTAATTTTTAAGTAAAATGAGCAGGAAAAAAGTACACTGAAATGTGATATGATATAAAATAGTTGAAGTGATTATATGTACGAAAATGATATGCTTAAATGATACTGATGTACTGGCTGATATCTGATCAACGATAATAGTATGGATGATCATATTGATACCTCAATGATAAGAGTACAGAAAGTATTGATGATATCTAATACATGATAAGAGTACTAATAATGTTGATATGTTATATATATTAATGCTAGCATTGATATATTACAGATAGTATTGTCAGTATTGATATATTAAGGATAATATTGCTGGTTTTAATATATTACGGATAGTACTGCTAGTATTGATATATTATAGATATCTAATCACTAATATGATTAACTTGTTAACAAGATATAATGAATGCGATGATTGAGAGTGATTGAGTACGACTAATCAGGAGTCATAAGGGCAGGAGCAAGATCAAGATGCCCTCATCTGAACATATAATAACATATTGATGACTAACTATTGATATTGATTACTTATCGATTACTCATTACTATTTACTAATATTATAGCTTATACTGTACTGATGTTATTTTCTGTCAGTACTATTATTATTGTTGAGACTGTTCTTTATTACTAATATTATGTTGACACTGGCACTTATTATTATTACTGGTATGGATCACTATTATTGATATCATTATTAATGATATAATAGACTGAAATATGATGTGTTATAAACTGAGTTGGTATAAATAACAAGTATAGATATTGATTATTTATAGAATTTATATTATATTGTTTCTCTTTTCAATGCATTGACTTCAATGTAAGATTTTAATTATTGCTGGATTTTTATGCTCTCTACGTGACTTTACATGTTTTCAGGAAAGAGTAAGGATCCTGCGATGTAAGACTCTATATTGCATATTTAATTTTCTTTTTGGCACATACAGTTCATTTTTTAGTCATGATATATTTATAGTGATGTAGCTAGTCTTTTGTATAATGACTATTGTATATATGATATTTTTTGGTTTATAATAATTGTACATATTGATGAATATAAATATAATCATATTTCTTTCGGTTGTTTATATGAAATGTGTAATCTCTTGATTAACGAAATGATAGTACGATAGATTATTTCCTTCCAGTATAGATTCTAGAGTGTGACACCTAGGTCCCATCATGTGGGATACTCCTCAAATTAGTTGTATAAAATTATCATTTCAAGTTTGCTTATAATATTCTTCAACATGAAGTTATAGTTCTTTGGCTAATCTATCAATATGATGGTTTTTTATCGGCACATATAGAGTGTAAATCAACCCTCTCTAGTTTCTCCTTAACAAAATATCCATCTACTAGAGGCGTCAATTTCGTGTCACGATTGGGTTCGGTTGAACCCGAAACTGACCAGGCACTATTCGGGTTCGGGTCGACCTGGCCCGTTTTTGTAAACGGGTCAATTTTTTGGACCCGAACACGACCCGCTTTGGGTTTGGGTCAACCCGACCCGACCCTCAAGAGCAGGACGCGCGAAACAGAACTAATGTCGTGACGTAGTGGGAGCGGGAGCAGGATGCACGACGCCGTGACGCAGCAGGAGCGGAAGCTGGCTTTAGCGGGACGAGCGAAGCATAACTAACGCCATGACGCAGGCGCGCACGAGTGCAAGATGCGGAACTGACACCGGCAACTGACACGACGCGGAATTGATGTCGAACATGACGCGACGCTGGCCTCGAAACAAGACGCGGCCGGACAGCCAGGGCAGGCAGGCGCCGGGTAAGCGGGGCAGACAGGGTGGGGGTCATATCAGGCAGACGAGTTTATGTGTCATTCCGGGTCATTCATGGGTTTCCGGGCCAACCCGAACTCGAACCGATTTTTCAAACGGGTCAGTTTTTCGGACACGAACCCAACCCTTTGGGTTTGGGTCAACCCAAACCCGAAATTTTCAGGTCGGGTAGAGTTTTCGAGTCGGGTCCAATATTGATAGCTCTACCATCTACCTCTACAAACTTGGTATATAATGTTGTATTGCACTATAAGCAATGTTGACGGTTGATCTTGTCATAGTATATCTTATATTGGCTCTTTCCACTAAAATTTTAAATCTTCCAAGATAATTTTGATCCGCAAAAATTTGCAAATTTTTTGAGTAATTGCTCTAAATTTAAATTCAATAATAGATCTTAAAATAATTAGTTATTCATTGCTTCTCCATATTATAAGATTTACTCCTAAGAATATAACATATTTATTGATGATCTTGTATAATCTGCATCAGTATAATCTTCAATTTATAGAGTATCTTGATTTTTATAGAGAATTCCTTTCTCTAGACTTAATTTAACATATCTATACGCAGCTTCAGGGTGAGATTCATTGGTCTATGCATGGATTGATTATGCAAAAGTAATGCCTAAATGAATGTGAGATAGTTTAGTTTATTGACTAATCATTAATATAATCCAACAGTAAGGGAACCATTAGTCACATTTATTTTCCTATTACTGGGGCAATGATTGTATGTTTGAAAGATATTGGCAAGATTTGTAAAGTGGTAAGTGCCTTCTGAATTTAAGATCAAATTTTGGGGGTAATTATTTAAGGCATTAAAACATGAGTTAGAAGCCAAAATATTTTGAGCTAGCAAGCTTGATTCAAAATAATTTTTTGAGGGAGCTGTGGAAGTTCCTTTGCCAATTTCTTTTGAGTTCTTTTAATTCAACAATACAGGTTTTCCATTTTAATGCTCTGTGCTTCCACCACACTCTTGGGGCTTTCCATAGTGTTTATAAAACTTTTTCTTTGAAGCATCATTTCTTCTAGTAGTAGTTGCACCATACTACCTTCAGAAGAAGACTTTTGTCCTTTAGGAAAAGTCTATGGCAGCAAGTCTCTTATATTGAGGTTTTGTAGTAGTTATAGCAGATGTTTCAAAGACTAAAGTGTCAGGGCATTTTTATTCTCTTCTTTCTTTAGCCTGCATAAAAGAGAATTATCATATCATCACAACATATTATCTTAAGATCTTGGTAGCAATATAATTTAATCCAGTAAACCTTCATTGTATTAAACTATTCAATAACATGAATATAATTTTAGTTGTTGAGATCTTAATTTTGATCTTGTAAATGAGGGCAACATCTTTTATGTATGAGTATGATTGTTTGATGGTGTCCCAAAATTCTTTTGCAGTAGACAGGAATATATAAAGCCCACTGATTTTAGACATTATGATATTACAAGCACGTCATAATTATGAAATCACCTTCATCTCAAAGCATAAATCTTTTCCTTCCCTTTCAGAAGGATTTTCACAATTGAGGATCACTTAAAATATAGTTTCTTCCATTCAAATGAAATAGAGCTTGTAACCCCCTCAGGAGTTCTCCCTTAGTCTATTTTTCAACATTCATAATAGAACTTATAGGAAGGTAAGTCAAATAAACTAAATATAATGAAGTGAAAAATGAACCCCGATAAGAAGAAGATAAAGAGAACAAATGTTAGAAGAAGGAAACCTTAAAACTTGCTCTGATACCATTTATATAAAAGTAGAAATATGAAAAACTATTTTGAATTTTAATATTTTATTTTCTGTTCACATATTAGAGGTGTTTATAAACGTTTCTAAAGATATTTATTACATATGAAAAAAGATAAATACAATTTACATCAAAATAATAATTAAAAAAGGAGGCCAACGGCTAGGTGTAGGTAGAGGAGCATGAATTGCAATACAAAGCTTAAGAGGGGAAAACTCAAACAACTAAGCTCCTCAATCAGTGTGCTCAATATATCATATTATTATTAACCGCATGGTGGGACCCACAACACTTCTGCATATGGTGAATGTAGAAAGGAGGCGAAGGAGTGGGTCCCCCACACAGCTTTCAACTATCATCATCAACCTTATTCTACTAGCTGGCTTTAACAGTCTGATAGGAAATACTTGATTTCAAGTATTTCCTAATCACTTTGGCAACAAATCTCAAGAACAACTGCTGTCCCCAGCAGGAAAACAGCCCAAAACTGAGAGAAAAACGGAGAAAAACTTGTATTTTACTAATAGATGCAAGGAAAATAGCAAAGATACAAGGATCCTCTATTCGAGAGGAGGATCGCACTCTCCCAATCTCTAGAATACGATCTAGAGCCCAAACCAACAAGAAGAACAATAGAAAATACAAGACAACAACACATAACCCTAAACCTCCTCATTACTCCCTACTTAATGCATACAATTCAAAATAAATACAAAAGGACCTAATTGCCCTCACTTCCCTTCATTTTGGCTCCAAGAAACAACTTGAATTTCAAGTGGACCCCACCTCAAACCTTCCTGCGGCTTCCGCCTGCTTTCCGCCCGCCCTTCGTCTTCGGTAGAATCGAACCGGCCCACTGGATTGGGCCGGCTGGACCGGTCCAGGGAGGACCGGTCTAACACAGTCATTCACCTTTCAACTTTTCGAGTATTGATTGAAATATTAAATGTAATTTTGCACATTTTTGCATAAACAAGTGAAAATGTTAGTTTTACCTGATATTTCTAGTGCATTTTCTCCGTATATTCTATTTTGTCACTTCAATATTTGTGATTCCTAATTTTTTTGACAAATCCATCCTAACATTTTCATATTTGTCAAGAACATCCATGTGAAGACTTATCCTCCAAGAGTTCATTGCAAAAAATTGCGATGGGTGAGCTTGTTCATTTTGTTCAAATATGTCATTCATTTGAAACAGCTTTCTTATTGTTTTTTTAAACTTTTTAGCACAAAAATTTTTTGTACTTAAACACTTTTAAAAAGCAATAAAAAAACTGTCTCAAATAAAACCTTAGTATAATTCTAGCTTGCAAGTCTGAAATTTCGATAAAATTATGAAAAATTAAAGTTCTGCTAGATAAGCTGCAATATCTTATTAAAAAACTTGTAATAAATCTATTTATGAAAATCAACAATTATTTTTTAAAAGAAAATGAAAAATGAGTATCAAATAGATCTTAGTAACAGAAGTATAGGTGAAAGGAGCCTGAAATAGCCACAATAAAGAAACAGTAGGATAGCAAAAAACTTACCAGATTACAGACTTCAGACACCACGTAGCAATTTGGTTGGAATGCATCTATAGCCAGTAGGCATGGAAAGCATTAAAGGCCTTTATAGAAAACAGGCATCACTTGTTCAGCATCCTCCAGGTTGTTGCTAATTGAAGTCTGATTATTATAATAGAAAGCAAGTAGACTGCTCATCGGAACTTTCAGTTTCAACATAAGTATTTAAATATTCGCTGAGAGGAAAAAATTATATAATGTTAATAATGGTAAAAAGTGTAAGGAAAAACATGAAACATCAAACTCACCAACTTGAGCCAGTATTTCAACTAGAGCATTCCTCCTTGTATCTGTTTGTACAGGAAGTTCCACCTATCTCACTCACTGGTCCCATTGGACTTCTTAAAGAGCTTCTAATTCTGCACAAGTTCCATTGATGACCTGGAAACGAAGTGTCGGAGCAACTAAGAAAACTTGGATAACTAAAAGAGGGACAAGTCAGGAATGCAATGATGCATGAGCTTGTTAGAACGGATAGAAAAGTATGGAGCAAAAAAATAAAACATGCGATTAGTTGAGATATCATGCAGCCGTTAACAGATAAACCATCATTAACAAGCCACCAACGGATGTTTTTTAAACATTCAGAGAACAAGCTCATTAAGAAACGGAAAAAAATAACAATAATAACTTCCGTACTCATCAAATTGCCAGCTTAAGTATCGAAGTACTCCAGAAAATTTGTACAGGATAATCATGATTTTATGGCCGGGCATGGGTGTAGCAATTAGGTTAGTCCTTGGCCTAAATATCAGAAGTTTGAGACTTCCAGAAACATTTGAAGTTGAGGATCAAGCAAGCATTATGCTTAACTGATGGATGGACTTAATTGCATTTCTATATCCAACGAGGTGCAAGCGGAAACAACACGTTCAAGTTTCCTAGGAGAATGCACAAAAAAGTTTTCCTTATTGATAACTAAATGCAGAGTCAAAAGCTATCATCCCTGAGTAGATTCATTAAAGGTTACCAAGCAGCTTAATTTAACTTAAATATAAAAATTGAGACCATTCCAATTGCATATTTGTCAATAGTGGATAACACATCATAACACAAAAGTGTCATAAAACTGTAGCAAATAATGCATGGTGCAATGCATGTTATTTTAAAAATAGCATAAAAATATTTTATTTAAAAATCATAAATAATTTATTAATAACATAACAATGTAAGTGATCATACTGAAATAAGGCACTGTTAAATCATATACATAACAATATTATTAAAGGCGCTAGACACCCTCAAGGAGACAAAACTGCTTAATACCTAAGGTGGTAGGTACCAGCCTAGCTAAATAGGCAAATAAACACTTAATTTGATAGCTTTCCTAGTGCAAGGTTTAGCTAATATTTGCTACTATATGTATTTAATTTTTTTCACCATTCATACTCTCTTATCATTACATGTGTAGCCATTCATCTCATAATATGGTTGCGTATACTTTCAAAATTAAAAAAAAAAAAAATTAACATCACAAAAGCAAACACATGAGTGCCTAGCGCCTTAATGTAAGGCACTTGCCTAGGAGGCATCAAAGTGATAATGCCTGCATGGGAGGATGAATTGATTTGATGCTAATTTGATGATGTACCATTGATCATGAATTTCTTTTTCATCTTATTCTTTCATCTTCTCCTTAATTATATTTGATTCTAAATTATTTTATCCAAATCACCATTAACATATAAGAAAAATGACAAAAAAGGGAGTTTTGATCCAAAAATATTTGAAGGCTTTGAATTAGGTCCACCAAATACCAACAAATTTGATAGCGAGGAGATGATTGATTCTACCTGAGGGAGAGGCTTTGTTTTGGCTTCTTGGAATGAGATGGTTTCCTTTCCCTACACACTCGCAAAACCACTTAGTACTTGCCCTAATAATAGCCATTATATGAATAAACTTTGAACAAGTCCATATTTTTATTTTGAATATCATCTAAATTATTTTTAGGAAACTTATAGATTTAAAACTAAATCTTGTTGTGAATAATCAAGCCAACAAACCTCAACTAATTTGATGAATATGCCAAATAGTATTAAAGTGTGTATGGATGGAGAAATTATTATGTGCAGAGACCGGACGGCGAGAACCGTCCAGATTTGCTGCGCTTTAGCTGCAATTTTGTAAATACTCAGTAAAAGACAGCAAATATACATTCATAATTGCACTTTTGATATCCTTTTGTAGTCCTTTTGCTGAATATTTGCAAAAGCACAGCAAAAGGCCAGCTAAAGCGCAGCAAATATCATACTAATTGAATATTTGCTGCACTTTTGCTGTGCTTTTGCAAATACTCAGAAAAAGGGAAGCACATATCGATTCATAATTACATTTTTGCTGCACTGTTGTTGAGTATTTGCAAAAGAGCAGCAAAATGGCAGCTAAATGTCAACAAATCCGGATGGTTCTCGCCATCCGGTCTCTGCACAGAATAATTTCTCGTATGGATGAGGCTTTCTATGGTATGAGCCATGCATTTAGTGATTCGGCACTAGGAAGCGTATACTTTAGCGAGCACACTGAGTATGTACATTTGTGAGGGCTTGGGCCAAAACGTTTTACGTAGCAAAAACGATTGAGTTGAATGCTGAAAAATCCAAAGATAGGTATAAAGGCAACAATTTGAGGAACTATTAATGTCGGTAAATTTTCATATTCATTTAATATATCCCCTTTGATATCATCTCACTTAATTTATTTTTATTATATTTATTTGAACATATTTGTAGCTTCTAGTTTGAGCTGAGAGTGGGTTTTCTCAAATTTTGAGAAGGTTAGTGAGAATCCTTTTATTTGTACATTGTACGTGGCTTTTGTATTAAGTGGATTAGATCCTCTATCTTCACTTATGAATGCATGCTTATTTAAACTGAGCCACAGAAATCTTGTTATTCCCTTTATGGAGCTTGATTTCATTGTGATTGTGATGTAGTATATCATATTTGCTACTGGCTAACATTTTTGAATAAAATTTAAATTCGTTAATAAACAAATATTACTAGAGCAAGGTCAACAAGGAAAGTGATTGTCATGAAGCTTGAAATCAATAAGTTTAATGGTCAAAATAGTGTTGGGCTTTGGAGAACAAATATGCATTATATTCTACTCTAATAAAACATTGTGAAGGAGCTCATGAGGTCTGTGAACATGCCTTTGGCTATGAGTGCAGAAGCTAAGGCAGGACTAGATAAAAAAGCTCTCTTGGCAATTCAATTATGTTTGGTGAATGAGGTTTCAAGGGATATATTGGAGAAAACAATAAAAGGTTTGTGACTCAAGCTGGGGTTTTGAAGTGTTCGGGATACCGCAGCCTTCATTCATGAAGGTTAAGGTAGCATAATCTAAATAAAGTCTAATAAAACATAACTAAACTATTTTAATCATATCAAATAATTTTAAAATTAATTATTACATTATTTTAAAAATTAAAATACATAAATATTAAAAAATATTTATAATTATATTAAAAAATTTTTAAAATTTAAATTGCGTGCGTCGTGCGCCATTGCGCACACATGACGTAAATGGCACGTGCCAACTTGAACATGTGCGCCGCGCCATGCAGCCGGCGTCGTAGGCATGCCACATCGTGCCATGCGCTATGGCGTGTGCCATTCTGCGTCACTGACAAGTATGGTTAGATTTGACATTATGAAGTTGCCAACACAATATGTTGTGAATAAGGCATTCGGTGGAGTAAATTGTGTACCAAATCTTAATTAAAATATGATATCTTTGAGCTTTCTTTGTGATGTAAGATATATGTTGTCTAACATGAAATTTCTTGAGGTTTGTAGACTGCTTTGTTGACATAAAAGAGAAAGAAGTTAGCAAATTATGTGTTTGCAGGGTCAACATTGTGTGGACCAACTTCTATGTTGTCATTTGTCTAGCACCATGACATAAGAAAAAAAAGCATTTTTTTTTGGGCAACAAAAGAAGTTTTAAAATAAAAATATGCACGAGTTGAAGGGGGGGGGGGGGAGGGGGGAAGTTTTAGATATGATCAGGCAGATTCATCTTATGTTACAAAACCTATCACAATGCCAAGTCATACTACTGTAGCATTCCAAGCAAGCATGATAAACATTTGAAAGTCTACACTCATAGAAAACAAAAATCTTGTGCATTGAGAAAAGTAAATTAATTACTATTTTAATTCAATTGTCAATCCCTATTCTTAAGGCTTTATTTTTATTTAAACTTATTTGTTTAACTGTATGTATGATGGTGCGACCTAATAGAATGGGATGTACTCTCTAGTGCTCATTTTCAGGTTTAGTTAGTTATAAGCTCATTATTCATTTGATGATAGATTGTTTGGCTTGAGATTCCTTCTTATTCTTGAGGATAGAACCATTCAACTCATGTAGCTTGTTTGATTCCTAAAGTTCACATGTTTTTTTCCTATAGCAAGTGAGCGTAATATCTATGGTTCCCTCTTTAGAGATTGTCCGGAGGTATGAAGACCACCGACTTCGATATTATGGAAAGAAACATTGCTTGAATCTGACCTCATACTATTATCCGCATAAACCTTGGAGTTAATTTGAAACTTGTGAAAAGTCCTTCGTAACTACCTATTTTGGATGAAAACTAAATGCTTATAAATACAATTGAGGCATATAATCAACACCATCTTTTTCATAATAAAGTTTTCCGATTCTTCTTAATCATGCATACCAGTTGAATGTTGAGCAATGCAACCGGAATTATTGATTCCTGAGAAAAATCATCTCCTTATATGAGCTTAAGACCTAATTTTTTATGTTTTATAATATCTTACAATGTTATATTTTCATCTACATAATTTGTTAATATTATTTTGTGAGCAAGATTATTTTGGTCAAAATAAATACAACTAGTTTTATTACTGTAATGTGAATCTTGATCAAGTTGTGTATTTTATGGTTTTTATTTTCTCACTAAATTTCTTTAATTTAGATAATCATTAAATTATCATTTAACACAAATTTCTTGTATTTTCTAGTTCATATTACAAGAAGATAAGTGCTTGCTTTAATTGATGGTCTTTGAAATTGCATTCTTAATTTTGTTATTTATTTATTAAATAAGTAACGCAACTTTTTTACGCTTTCTAAAGAAAAAGTCGAATTATTTGACGTTTTCTTAATTAATTAGCATTTTCTATTGAAAACACCAAATTATTTGGCGTTTTCTTAATTATTTAGCATTTTCTAAAGAAAACGCCAAATTATTTTGTGTTTTAGCTCCTTTTAAAATTATTTAATAATCAAGCTTCTTTTACTTAATTACGCATTAAACATGCTCCTTTTTAAAATCCCCTCTATTATTATATTATGAATTAATTATATAGATGCAATCTATGCTGAGTTAGCTTGAATCAACTTCTAGTT